CATTCCCAAAGCAGCAGCACGATCTAGGACTAGATCTTGCTCCACTAAAGGGCAGAATAAGGCAGCCAGGGAATCTGCAGGTCCAAATTCAAAGCAAAGGCCCTGTAGGCCAAGCCTGCATGGACTGCATGATTGGCCCATACCACAGCACCAGAGAAGCCTGGTTTTAAGAAGTGTCATGGTGGTTAAGTTTTATGGAGGTTAGTACAACTCAGTCATGTAAGAGATCTCTTCATGTGTAGTTCTAGACATTATTGACTACAAACAGTGACAGGTAGCTCAATGCCTTTCTGAATATAACTTAAAAAAATTTGGTGCCTGTCCTGGGCTTGAATTCAGAGCCTGAGCACTCTCCCTGAGCTTTTGTGCTCAAGGCTAGTGCTCCACCACTTTGAGCCACAGTGCCACTTCCATCTTTTTGGTGATTAATTGAAGGTAAGAATCTCACAGACTTTCTGCCCAGGCTAGCTTTGAACTGTAATCCTTAGATCTCAGCCTAAGTAGCTGAGATGAGCCATGGATGCCTGGCTGAATATAACTTAAAAAGTTTTTAAGCCATTCATGAAATTGTACTAAATTGCTGATCTATAGCTTTCTTTCCTCCCAATGGTAACCAACTCTCGTCTTTGTCCCCAGCCTCTAAAGCTACATAGACAAAATGTAATTGTTACCCTGGGAGCAAAGCAATTAATAAAGAATCATCTTTCTCCCAAAGCCCCAAGTTTCTATATTTCTAGCTGAAGATTCTTAGTTTTTCTTAAATGGATACCTGATGATGTGCTATCTAACCTATTAATCTTCTTTATACACACTGTAGCCTACTGATATTTCCGGCGCCACCAAGTACCCAGAAAGAAACAGGCTCTAACATTCTCCTAATCTAAGATAGATATTTTTTCTTGACAGGTTTTAAAAATATAATTTTATTGTTATTATTAAAGTATGTACAGAGGGGTTGCTGTTTTATAAGTCAGGCTGTGAGTGCATTTCTTTTCAGACAATGTCACCCCATCCTTTGCTTTCCCCCAGTTTTCCCCTACCATCCTGGCTCACAAGTTGCATAGTTTATTTTCTTCATAGTGTATATTGAATACCATGCCTGTACGTGTTTACCTGTTTTCTTTTCCTTGCTATGTCCCCCTTTATCCCTTTAAAAATATTTTTTAAAAACCCACAACAAACAAACTCAGAAGCCAAAACAATTAACCACCACAACTACCACCACCATCAACAACATAGAAACCAATGTTTCCATTTCCTGGAATTCATTTCTATAAATAGCACTTGTATTTTAAATGTTAAGAGGAGTTATGCTTTTGGGTTCTTTCCATGAGAGCAATCTCCTTTAGTCTGACTCTTTGTGTGTGAGTCACTAGAGTCCTATATAAGTTATCACATCCAGTTATTAGATCTAACTTTCACACATGAAAGAAAACATGCACTGTTTTTTTCTTTGAGCTTGACTTACCTCACCATGATTTGTTTTGGGTCTTTCTGTTTCCCTGCAAATGGCATAGTAATCTTATTCTAAGACAGGTATGTTTTCTTTTTGCTTATGTGGTGCTGAGGAATCGAACCCAGGGCCTCACGCATGCAAGGCAAGCGCTCTACCACTGAGCCACCTTCCCAGCCCTTAAGACAGGTATGTTTTCTTAATATACCTTTTCGACATACTCTGGCAGAACTGAACCTGGGAAAGAAAACACAGACCTAGACTTAAGAGAAAGACCTCTCATCTACTGGCTGATGCTGGTACAGCCAGTCCCGAATATTCTCTACTTGACGCACTTATAGAGGCCATAAAGCACAGGGCCTGATCTAGGCACACTGGAGCCCTGGTCAGTTCCTGAAATATCTAGGGCAGTTACAACTCTAGAGTTCCCAGGGACTCTCTCCTCTAATAATTTCTTAATTCTTCCTCCCTTGGAACATAAAAGGGCCCTTGGGAGATATAGGAAGAGAAACTTTTTCTAGAAGGAAGCTCCCCTAGTAATCCATTCCTAATTTGACTGTGTCCTGCAGACAGTAAGTCTGTCTTCTGAGTACAGGGATCATCCATACACACCTACATCCATACACATCATGTTCCTTTGCATTCTTAAAGCCTTCCAGGCCTTCTACAGTCTCACTCAGAAATTCTTGTGGGCTCTTTGAGCATGCTCATTAGGCAAGTATGGTCCACATAACTGAGTGAATCAAAGTTAATTTGCTATGATTTTTATCATGGCATAATCATTAAAATGCAAGAAAAAAAGAATGAAATCTTGTGAAAACGTGTGTGTGTGTGTGTGTGTGTGTGTGTGTGTGTGTGTGTGTGTGTTTGTATGGGGGGCATTCTGTCATTCAGGGGAAACCTTTCAATATAATGAAGTCAGATTCCATTTCTTTCTTCAAGTGATTCATAACATTCTCTTAATTACACCACCTATTTTTAATCATAGACATCATAATTTTTATCTATGGAAGTTCAACATGGGTTTCCTAAATATCATCCATGTCACAACTAGTTTGAGCAGGAGGAACAGAGTCCTAGCATAGTAATCTCTTTGATTTTTCTTTGTTAATTTGTTTCTTTCTTTTTGCCTTTCTTTCTTTATTTTGTTCCAGTGCCAGGGCTTGAATTCAGGTCCTAGGAGATGTCCCTAAGCTTTTTTGCTCTGAACTAGCACTCTACCATTGAGCCACAGCTCTACTTTCAGCTCTTTGAGATAATTGGAGATCAAAGTTTCATAGATTTTCCTGCCCAGGCTGGCTTTGAACTATGATCTTCAGCTCTCAGCCTCCTGAGTAGCTAAGATTATAGGCGTGAGCCATCAACAGCTGGCCCATTCTCACTTTTTTTTTTAAGGGAGTAAAAGCTAAATGCATATGGAAGTGTGATGCAACTAAATACAAAGAATATACATCCTGGTTAGAATAAACAAAAACTGTATCTGTATCTATTTCTCTATTTCCATGCATTCCCATTCCCATCCTCATCCTCATATCCACACTAAGATCATTTTTGGGGGCGGGGTACTGGTACTGGAGCTTGAACCCAGGCCTGGGCACTGTCTCTGAACTTTCTTGCTTAAAGCTGGCATTCTACCACTTGAGCCACAGCTCCATTTCTGGCTTTTTTGGTGGTTAATTGGAGGTAAGAATCTCACAGAGTTTCCTGGCTTTCCATGACTTTCAACCATGATCCTCAGATTTCAGCCTGCTGAGTAACTGGAATTATAGGCATGAGTCACTGGCACCTGATCCAAGACTGCAATTATTCCTATGCCAGAACCTGTATGTACACTCATACCTAGACCTAGACCTACTCTTATACTCAGACCTATTCTTATGCCTAAGCCTGTACTCACATCTATATCTATGATAGTATCTGTGAGTATTTTGAATATATAATGAGAAGGCAAAAAGAGAGAGAGAAAAAGAATTCTTAGACAAATGATTGGCTGTAATCCAGATATTGAAAAAAATGAAATACTGATAGTGGTTTCTAACCCAAGGATATTTATGACATTACATGGCTGTAAGCACCAGTAGTCATCATCTTCAGGGACATAACATGAGATCCAGGCTCTTATAATTATCATTTTATGACAAGAATCCTTCACATCCACTTTCTCAGCATTTTCACCAATTCATTATGCCTTTAACTACATGTATCATTCATTCACCTAATGTATAAAAGGTAAAAATCAAGAATATGGACATTTTTCTTCCCTGAATTCTAGAAAATGAAAGATATATATAGCATAGTTAAGACTATTGTAAGATTTAGCAATGCAAAAATAAGTAAATAAAAATTTGAGAAATAGGTTTAATAAATCACAATTAAGAGATAGTGCACTAAGAGATAGAACTGGAGGAGTATTTAGAATTAAGTTCCAAACATGCACAGAAAATGCATAAGTATAGCTAAAATGGAGGACATGGGATTTGCTTTGGCTTAGTTACTTTTTGTTTAACTGGAATTAAGTATGGGATAAAATATGAATTCTAATGTTTTGCTCACTGTACTGGAAGTCATATAAAATAGCAATATATTTGAACCAAGACCCACATGTATTTGAAAAATGCAATAAGAAGTCAAGAGACATTTTAAACAATAGATTACAGATAACTGAAGAGAATCAGCAAATGATCAAGAGGGAGATCAGAAGAATTCACTGATGATAGAGAGGAATAAAAATCAATGGAAAATATTAAAGGTATTATAAGAGAAATAGAGAATAGCAATAGAGAAATCATGAAATAGAGAATACTTAACACATATCTGATCAGAGTCCCAGATTCAAAAGGAGAGAAATGAAGCAGAAAACTGTGAACAAAATATTTTAGAAGAGTCAATGTGCATCAACCATCAGATTAAAAAAAATCCTATGAAATACCAATTTGAGAGAGTGGACGTATATTTAGATATGCTTGTAGTCTTTTAAATATACATATGGATATCATGTTATGGATTACTTTCAGACACTAAAGACAAAGAGAAATTCTTAAAATTAGAATGACGAGCACAATCAGAAGGCTGTTTGTACTAGAATTCCAGGTTAAGAGTTGCATGTTAGCTAACTTTACTCTCAAGCATCCGTGTTTTCATCCTAACACACGTAATCTTAACTATTCCTTCTCTGTACAATGGCTGGGTTCCTTTGCTCAGGCTGATAATGTCTCCGTATCAGCAGCCTGCAGAGCGCCCGTGCAGAGGAGACACTGGCAGGTGATTTGAAGGTCCTTGATGTCTGGAAGAGACACACCCATGCACAGACATATCCACATCCTTCTGGGACCGAGTTAGGACATATAAAATGTGATAGGAATTTCTATAAATCTTAGAAAAATCATGCAGTTTGACTGCAGACCTGCGTAGTAAGATCTGAAGGCAAGAGACAGGATACTGGGCAATAGGCAATCATGAGGGGATTGAGAGAAAGTTGCGTAGTGGAAGATGACGCTGTGAGTTTGTCTCACTGGGCTATCTTGGAAGGTCCTCGTGCAGGCAAATATTAATAACTTTTAGGGTTAAGCATCCTCAGCACCCGTTCTCTTATCTGTTTTGTCCTGACGCCATAGATGACAGGGTTAAGGGCAGGGGGGACAACCACATACAGATTGGCCAAAAGGATGTGGATGAAATGGGGGATGTTGTGGCCAAAGCGGTGTGTCATGAAGGAAAAGAGGGCTGGCAGGTAGAAGGCCAACATGACACAGACGTGAGAGCCACAGGTGCTGAGGGCCTTGAGCCGGGCATCCCAAGATGGGAGGCGGAAGACTGCTCGGAGGATTTGGACATAGGAGAACCCAATCACAGAAAGGTCAATGTATCCCACCGAGAAAGCAATTAAGCCGTAAATAACATTGGCCTTAATACTGGCACAAGCTAACTTGGCTAATCCCATGTGTTCACAATAGGTGTGAGGGATAATTCGGACACCACAGAAAGGCAATCTCAGGATAAGAAATATAAATGGAGTGACAAAGGCCAAAGTCCTGACTATGATCACTACGCCCAGAATGGCTATGACTTTGTTGGTGAGGATCATGCTGTATCTCAGGGGATTGCAGATGGCAATATAGCGATCGATGGCCATGACTGTCAGCACCACAGACTCCAGGCCAGTGCATATGTGGATGACATACATCTGTGTGATGCAGGCTCCAAACAAGATCTCCTTGAGATTGAACCAGAAAATGCCCAGCATCTTGGGAATGGTGGCTGTCGATAAGCCCAAGTCCGTGCAGGCCAACATAGCCAAGAAGTAAAACATGGGTTGGTGGAGGCTGTGTTCAATCTGGATCACAAACAGGATAATGATGTTTCCCAGGATGGCTATTAGATACACAGCAAAGAAGGGGAAGCTGATCCAAATGTGCACATCTTCCAGCCCTGGGATCCCCATCAGAAGGAAAGAGGAAGGGTGGAACTCTGTGTTGTTGGTAGGAAACATGTTGGTGGGAATTGGCTACAGACACATTTCTTCCAGGTGTTTTCTTGCTTCCAGTGAGAGACTCTAACTTCTTTCATAACATGTTGAATATTTCTTGGTGGAACAGAAAAACCATTCTTGAATTCCATAATAGAGTAGGGGAGACCTAGAGAGGGAATGTGAGACAGTGAAACAGATGTTTTCACTCTGAAATATTTGCATCTCATGTATTAAAAAAAACTATGTAGAAAAGTTTTAAATGCACAGTAAGCTGAGACTTCTCATCTCTTTGTCTCTGAGAAGAAATTGCATTATTGTTACTCATACTATGATGGAGTGTGTGTGTGTGTGTGTGTGTGTGTGTGTGTGTGTGTGTAAAATATCGCTAGATGGGAAATGATGCCAGAAGAGTCTGGTGATTGAGTAGAATAATTGTCCATTTTGCAAAGCACCTGAAAAATAAAGAAGTTTCTATATGGGCAGAACCCTGTCAAAGTCAAAGCCTAGATGGCTGGTGTTTGGATCAGAGTTATTGAATGGAGTTAAGAAGTTTCAACACAATTGCAGATTATTACGTAATTCTAAGAAAACAATTTCCTCTCCTAGAACTGAAATATAGTATACTACCTGAAAAGAAAATACTGTATGTACCAAGATTTCTTTCAGAGTCTTTGTGGTTTATGACTTTTGCTTATGCTATTGTATGTAAGTAGACTGTTTATGCTACGTGATAAGTAGAGGCATCTGTTTGAAAGGTAGAGCAATACCTAAGCCAGATACTTACTTAACTTGTGAGCACTGTAGCTTGTTGTAATGTTGTGGCTAGAGGCTGATGGAGTAATAGATTTTAATATGTCTAAGCTGTTGGCTGCCAGGCTGCTTTACTGTAAAATTCAGTTTGTCTGGTGTCTTGTGTTCTTTACTGGCTTGCAACTGCTGCTACAACATGAATGAAATTTGTAGCTTGGTGCTACGCATGATTATTTGCTAGTGAGACCCGGACATGATTTAGAACCTTCAGAGGCTCTGCATGATGGGTGGGGCACAGACATCATATTTATGCAATGAGATTTAGAAGCAGTAATTCACATCCCCAGAGAAGAGAGCAGGGCTCTGTGTGGACTAAGGCAGGGGTCTGAGGGGTTTTACATTCATATATAGCTTGAAAAGTATCTTCCATTATTCCTCAAAGTGGCCTTTAGGATGATCAGGGAAGAGATTGTTTAGTACATTTGTTATATTACCCTTGCAATACATGATACAAAGTCATATATCTATGAAAGACAAAATCTCAAATATTGCTACATTGCTACATGTTTTACTTGCGACTAGTGACTTATCTTCTATATACAGAATTGTCAGCAAGATAAACAGTGATATTTGTAACTCTTTTCCTGTCTGTTATATTATAGGAGTGCCCCTTACCTCCTCATCTGACATCTGACAAATATTTATAAAGAGTTCTCATTTAGTGACAGGTACTAGTCCAAGCATAGGAAAACAGAAGCCATGGAGTCAAAGTCCTCAACTTCATACAGCAGCACAACATTTGCTTTCTGAACTCAAACAAGGTTTCAGCTGTCATTATAATCTTTCTGTTCTTTGCAGGAAACTTTCTAAAGAGCCCTTTGGTATTCTAAAAATATTACGGGTTCAGAACATCCTTGTTAAGAAACTTAAACACATCAGTAAAAACGATTGTTAATCTTTATTCCATTATCACGTTCATGTTTCACAGACTAAATATACTTTATTTTATTATTATTTTTATTTGAAAATGCTAAAATAAAAAGGGTTACAGTTACATAAGTCAGGCAAAGAGTACATTTGAGGCTAATTCCATATTCATATACATTGTCTAAGATCTTCTCCACCATAGCTCTCTGAGGCTTTGAATCCCTTTCCCTCTGTTCCCCACCCCACCCCACCCCCATTAATCTTTTCCTAGGTGCTGGCTTCTCTCTTTTGAGGCAGAATATTCAATAATCTCTCACTTGGGTTTCTTGGCTTCCTATTTCTGCATCCTTCTGTTTCTATTTTTAAGTGCACTTTAACCATGTCCTACAGGATGACTAGCTACTCAGAACTTCTCTTCTGAGATGACATGATGGGAGACATAGGAAAGGAATGATATCATATGTGCCAGCTGATAAGTAACTATGAGTATTTTCCCTCGTTGGTGGTTGCATATAACCGTCTTTGCTTATGTCCACATATATGTTCCTGTATTTGTTGCAATTGTTTTATTTGTCAGTATGGTTGTTTAGCTATGTGTTTTGCTTTAATGTCAATTTCATAACAATGATTTCAGGTTGTTCTCTCTTTCACCATGTACCTTGGAGATGGCTCTAACAGAAGAGACTTGGGCTGAGTTACTGGGGTTCAGTTATTTTCCCGAGGACCCTCTCAGTATAACCTCAAGCAGACTCACCTACCTCTGCTCCGCCTCTGAGAAGTTGTTTGTGAAGGACTGGATGCCACCACCTGCAATCTGTGTGAGACTGAGTTCTCACCAGCCAGGGGCAAGGAATTATAAAAAAAAACACTCTCATCTCCTGGGAAAAATTTCAACACAGCTGGCTGTGTCATTAGATCTGAGATATGAAACAAAATTTCTGAGTCCCTGAGGTTGGAGTTCTGTGTCTTCTGGTTCAAGGCACCTCTGTTGTCTAATGATCTACTTATGAGTACTCTCTCCTGGACAGCTCCCAGGAGGCTAGAGGCCTCACTCACACCAACATTTTGCATCTCACCCTAGACTCTCCTCAAAGTCATCTCAGAAACAAACGTACATTGAATAAACTTGTTCAATGTGTATGACTTCAAGTTTCCATTCCTTGAACTATTTCTGCCATAACTATATCTGCTATATAGTATTAGTTATTAAGAAAATGTGGTTATGTAAAAGGAAGATGTTTAATGGATAGGTTAAGGGAATAGCTTTTTTCAGCATAAAACAATTTATTTAAGGATTTACATCCTTTTCTCTCTAGTGTAAGGGCATAGCTTTCAACCCACATATTTATTTTATTATTTTGGTTAACTTAATATGCCATTCTAAGTCTTGGTTTTCTCATATGGGAAATAAGTTAGAATTATATTAGCTTTTTGGATTGTTACAATGACATAAGAAGATATTGCCTCAAAAGTGGTTAGCAACTATCTTTTAGAGATGGATGGATAAATAACACTAGCTGTTATTATAAATTTTAGCAACAGTATCGCAAGAGTTAGCACTTTGGAGTCAGGCAACTTAATGTTAAACCCATTTCCTGTTTGGTAGCTGATTAGACATTTCTTCAACACCTCTGAGCCTCATTCTTCTCCCTATAGACTCACAGTAGTAATAAAAATGACAATGTACAGGTCACATGGTATTCCTTCCAGTGTAGTGAAAGAAGGTCTTTAGAATATCAGTGTGTTTAACAATAAATCCAAAATATTATTAAAATTATTGCCTTCAGCTAGAAGTAGAATTTATTGGTGTTTTCAGTAAATAATCAGACTCTCAAACAGAAAAAAGGTAGTTACTTGTTTGGTTCACTAGATGGATCATATCAAGAACTCTCATTTATTTGTTCAAGAAATATATTTAGTTTGGCCGCTAGATGTCAGTAATACTCATACAGCATTCTCATTTATTGAGCACTTGAGGAAGACAACGTAGCAGTTTATTGATCAATAAATATGAATTAAATCAACAAAAGGTTGCAGGCCAGTTGAAGCTATGACTATTTACATTGGCTCCAAATAAAATTATTATTATTGAACAAATAAAATTTATCCTGTGATGTGTCTCTTTAGTTGCAATTTTCCAGACAAGCGCTCTACCACTGAGCCACCTTCCCAGCCCTTAATTGACTGACATATTTTAATGGCGCATTGCTAAATTACAAAGTAAAGGTATTTTCCTGTTTTCTTATCAGAGTGTATTAACTGTACAGATTATTTGGCCTCATTATGACATTTTCATACATGAACATATTGAACCTTGATCATACTCACCATTATTACCTTCATTTATTCATCCTTTCATCTATTAGATTGCCTTCATTTTTCATGATCTTTCCTCCCCCATCTCCCTAAGATTCCACTTGTGAGAGAAAATATGCCACAGTTGCCATTCTGATTCTGGTTTATTTCACTTAACAGGATGATCTCCATTTCTACCTGAAAATTACATGATGCTTTTTCTTTTTGGTAGGTTGTGCGGGCTTGAACTCTGGGCTTGGGCGTTGTCCCTGCGCTCAAGGTGAGCCCTCTACCGCTTGAGCCACAGCGCCACTTCCGGTTTTCTAGTGACTTATTGGAGATAAGAGTCTCACGGACTTTCCTGCCTGGGCTGGCTTTCAACCATGATCCTCAGATCTCAGCCTCCTGAGGAGCTAGGTTTACAGGTATGAGCCACCAGTGCCTGGCTGATGATGATGTTCTTTATGACTGAATAATACTCTTATTATGTTTATAAACCATTTTCTTTGTCCATTCCTTTATCGATTGACACCTGTTTTATGACTTAATTATTATAAATAGTACAGCACAAATATGAATGTGCAGGCATTTCTACTGTATGATAATTTTGATTCCTTTGGGTACATATTGGAAAAGTGGCATAGCTGTGTCATATGGTAGATTCATTTTTACTTCTTTTTGCATTTGAAAACTCCATACTAGTTCCCACAGTGAAAATTTACATTCTCACCAGCAGTGTATAAAAGTTCCTCTTTTCCATATATGAAGTTGGTTTCTTTCCTTGACCACTTATATTATTCTCTTTGAAATCTGGTTTATCTTATGATACAGTATCATATTGATGTTTTGAACTATAATATTAGTTAAAGCTTTATAAATTATAAAGACTTTTCAAAATCCATGAATCTTGTAAAACACACAAAGGGATACTGCTAGCATATTAGTTGTTTCTTCACTCTGACACTGAGCCTTTTATTAAGTTTGAGGCAACTGGAGTGAGGTGAGCTGAGGTGAGAATAGGCAATAAACATAATTTTGCATATCTACCA